TGTGTGTGTGTGTGTGTGTGTGTGTGTGTGTGTGTGTGTGTGTGTGTTTGAAAGACCTTTTCCCACTCAGTTTATATGTGCTTATCCAATGCAAGGCAAAGTTATTTATTGTAATTAGTCAGCGTTCCTTCCATTGGCCTTTTCATTTCACACACACATTTTTAGTAAAAGTGTGGAGTGGTGTGGAGGTCAATACCATGGCCTTACAGCAAGAGGGTTCTGGGTTAGAGTCCCCGGGGGAACCAGGACCAGAGGGTTCTGGGTTGGAGTCCCTGGGGGAACCAGGACCAGAGGGTTCTGGGTTGGAGTCCCGGGGGAACCAGGACCAGAGGGTTCTGGGTTGGAGTCCCTGGGGGAACCAGGACCAGAGGGTTCTGGGTTCTAGTCCCCGGGGGAACCAGGACCAGAGGATTCTGGGTTGGAGTCCCCGGGGGAACCAAGACCAGAGGGTTCTGGGTTGGAGTCCCCGGGGGAACCAGGACCTTTCTGCCTGAGGGTTCCAAACTGTCCTGTGCAAATCATTTAATATGCAAATGCTTTTCCAAAGTGTCTGTGTCCTTAATAAAGTACAGATGATTACTTAAAGTGTCATGTTTTCCCCACCTGCCTCAAACGTCACAGCAGTGAAGAACACATCAGCCTAAAGAAAATGCACTTACTCTGAAATACTATTGTTAGATTTGGTTCTTTAGTTGGAAGCCTGAGAATAAACCAGAGCAGATCAAGAGCACAAATATGATATTTATTGGTCACAAGCAAAGTAAATCAGTTGGGCTCTCACAGACAAAGCTCCCGGAGGATCTCAGTTAGCAAAGAGCCTCCATTTAGGCTTTTAGTTTTCCTCTGGGCCTCCAACAGGAGGACGAGTGTTATTGGCCAGTTAGCTCTGACATGAACAGGCCAGGTCCTAATTCATGCAGGTTTAGGTGGAATGTGATAGAAAGTGTGAATATTGACCTTAAAGACGTATATCTACTGTAACAGAGAGAGAGGAGGAGTTTAACCCAAAAGTAGAATTATAAAGGGAATAATATGAATCTGAAAGGAATAAGACAATCAGTCGTTTACATGGATTAAGTTATAACATACTGTGCTAAAGTGAGTAATTATAGCCCAATTCTAACATTATAATGTAAATTCCGTTTGTCTACACAATTGTTCTTACCATTTGTAACACAGAGAACATTGGGGCTCATTGTGAGCTCAGACCAAACTAGACTGTCTTTTCTGGGTTTTTTAGGACACACAATATCTCAACCAGGCCTGTAAAGTGTGTTAGTGTTGTGGTGTGTGGGATAGCAAACAGACCGATGCTTTGTGGATTGTTCGACCCAAGTTCTGCTTTACTTAGGCACTAAGTGTTTATGTTTATGTGTTTATGTTTATGCATTTGGCAGATGCTTTTATCCAAAGCGACTTACAGAGTAGACACAATATTACATTTATTATTACTATGACAATAAGCTATCCAGAGGAGAAACACTGATCAGAGTCAGTGGTGACAGCAAGAGATAGAGGTAGAGGGACTACAGAAGGAGTTGTGGGACGTTAAGTGACGTTTTTCACACTATCTATTCTTGTCTTGAGCTTGAGGCAGCAGTTATGTGTGGGCAGAGCAAACACAAATGGACGGCGACACAGAAAAACTGACAGAAATAATGTTTCCGCTTATAACGGCGACTGGAGCACGCTCTTATTGTGGAAGTGTTTAATCGACCGGAAGTGCCTGGCGCTTCCGGCGGAAGTGCCGCTGGGACCGTTGAGGTAAACATTGCCGCCTGTCAGGACCCGACAGAATTCCCACCTGGAACCAAACCGGGTAGCTAGCTTTGTAGACTAAACGGGACATAAACTCAGAGCTATAGCTAGACTTCCGGTTTCCTCCGTGGGCTCTTTCGGTACTTCCGGTTCGGGCTCCGTTACACGGTTTGAGCACGTGCAGGCACCGGCATGTGTGACCGGGGGGACCGGGACCTGTACGCGGTGCTGGGGGCCAGTCCGTCCGAAAACACCCAGCAACTGCACCGCAGATACCGGCAGCTGGCCCTCCAGGTACCCGTTAGGTCCCCAACCGGAAGATACCGGGCAGGAAAAGCCTAATGGCTTCATGGCAATATAGACATTAATTGGTAAAATGAATCTTGCAAACAGTGAATTAAACTCTATACATAATATTGTGTTAAAATAGTGTATGTTAAATAGGTTTGTACAATAAGTCAGAACAAGTTTAACCAAAAAATATTTATTTATTACAATTATGAAGGGTGGAGGGTTAGGGTTAGGGTTAGGTTTAGGGTTAGGGTTAGGGTCAGGATTAGGGTCAGGGTTATGGTTAAGGTCAGGATTAGGGTCAGGGTTAGGGTCAGGTTTAGGGTCAGTTTAGGGTTAGGGTCAGGCTTAGGGTCAGGATTAGGGTCGGGTTTAGGGTCAGTTTAGGGTTAGGGTAAGGGTCAGGCTTAGGGTTAGGGTCAGGTTTAGGGTCAGGGTTAGGGTCAGGGACACTGAATTAAACTCTATCCATAATATTATGTTTAAATAGTGGATGTTAAATAGGTTTGTACAATAAGTGCAAACAAGTTTAACCAAAAACTATTTATTTTTCACAATTATGAAGGCTGGAGGGTTAGGATTAGGTTTAGGGTTAGGGTCAGGGTCAGGGTTAGGGTTAGGACATCGTTCATCTTCCGATTTAGTAGTGACAGTAAAGTTTCGATTTCTGTTTAACTGAATTTTGACCTGTTACTGATGTTATGGTGGCCCACATTAATGACCCTAACCCTAACCCTAACCCTGACCCTGACCCTAACCCTGACCCTAATCCTAACCCTAACCCTGACCCTAACCCTCCACCCTTCATAATTAGGAAAAATAAATATTTTTTGGTTAAACTTGTTTGGACTTATTGTACAAACCTATTTAACATCCACTATTTTAACATAATATTATGGATAGAGTTTAATTCAGTGTTCGCAAGATTAATTTAACTATTTTTAAATTAATATCTATATTTCCATGAAGCAATTAGGATTTTCTTGCCTGGGATCTTCCTATTGGTGACCTAATCAAAATGGCCGACTTGGATGTGGGGGAGTTGGATATCCATCCTTGGCTTCCTGCAGACTTTAAATAATGTTTGCGTGTTATTATTAGCCATTAGCCACAGCTAGCGATTCGAGGCTAACGTCACGTTAATGATCATAAACAACGTACAGTGGGGGAAATAAGTATTTGACCCCTTTCTGATTTTGCAGGTTCGCCCACTTACAAAGAATGCAACGATCTATAACTTTAATCATATGTACATTCTAACAGTGAAAGACAGAATCCCAAAGAAAATTCCAGAAAATCACATCGTATGAATTTATAAAAATTGATACCCATCTGATGAGGAAAAATAAGCATTCTTTGTAAGTGGGCAAACCTGCAAAATCAGCAAGGGGTCAAATACTTATTCCCCCCACTGTAAATAAATAACTGTTTCCCCCCTGGCGTCCGGCAGAAGGTTCCGCAGCATTTTCTGCAGAACGACCAGACTACTAAATAGTTTCTTCCCCCTGGCCATCAGACTACTTAACGCCACATAACCCCCCCCCCCCCCTACACACACACATATTTATTGATGTTTCGTTGCTAAAAATGTTACTCTGGTAGCCAAGAAATTGACATTTCGTTGTCAAACTCACCTCGTGTTTTTGACAATGACAATAAAGGAAGTCTAAGTCTAAACAAATCAGAGAGGACTGAGCTTTAACTCTTGGGTTTATTTCCCCTGTGTGTGTTTAGTTGCACCCGGACCGTTTGGGCGGCCCCAGCCCCCCCGGGGCGGGGCGGGGGGGCAGGTTTGTGGAGCTGGAGGCGGCCTGGAGGATCCTCAGCGACCAAACGACCCGGAGGCAGTACGACCTGCAGAGGAGGGGTGAGAGGCCCCCCCCCCCATCAGCCCTCAGAGGGACCGGTTACAGGGGCTTCCTGCTCTGAACTCCTTATCCTAACCCCTAAAACCCTAACTCCTATCCCCTGACTCATAACTACTAAAACCCTAACTCCTTGCCCCTACCTCTTAACCCTTTACTCCTTACTCCTAACCCATAACTCCTATCCCCTTATTTCTAACCTCTAACTTCAAAACTCTAACTCCTAACCCCTAACTCATACATTTTAACTCCTTTCCCCTAACTCCTAACTCATATCCCCTAACGCCTAATTCCTAACCCCTAATCCTAAATTCTTACCCCTACCCATAACTCCAATCCCCTAACTCCTAACTCCTAACCCTAAACCCTATCCCCTAACTCCTATCCCCTTACTCCTAACCTCTAATTTACAACCCTAACCCCTAACTCATAAATCCTAACCCCTAACCGCTTACTTCTAACTCCTATCCCCTAGCTCCTAACTCATAACCCCTAACCCCTAACTCCTAACTACTTACTCCTAACCCCTAACTCCTATTCCCTATCCCCTATCCCCTAACCCTAACTCTAACTCCTATCCCTAACCCCTAACTCCTAACTCCTATCCTCTAACTCATAACCCCTAACTCCTATCTCCTAATGCCAAATTCCTAACTCCTAACCCCTGACTCCTAACCCCTAACCCCTAACTCCTAACCTAGCCCCTAACTCCTAACCCCTTACTCCTACCCCCTTACTCCTAACCCTATCCCATAACCCTATCCCCTAACCCCTAACTCCTACCCCCTAACACCTAACCCTCCTGGAGCAGATGGGAGATGCTAGCTAACTGTAGCCACATCGGCTCATTCTCCTGAAGCTTCAGTATCTTCCTCCTCATTTACCGGGTTGATCTTCTCACTAGTTTAGCAGTTATTCCTCCTCCCGCTGTGTAACACTAATTAAAACCTGAGCAGGGTTTAGCACTAATTATTCCTGGTTCAGAGTTATTATCACCATCCACCTGTACTACTCGATAATGACTGTTTTCTCAAGAGTGAATTGTAAGAAAGAGGCGTGTGAACATCTGTCCGTCCACCTTTTACTCATCAGTAACATGAGTCTGACAACTAAGTAAGTAGATAAATAACTTTAGACTTTAACACATGCTCTGATAGGCCGGGATCGGATCGGATCGGAAGGGAAAAATCTGGATCGGGACATCCCTAATTTAAAGGCACCCCAACAAAAAAGGCTCCATTTGTGCCGATTTTGGAGGTTTTTCGACCAGAAATGTGACCCTCTTTGTTCAATAGTGGATAAACAGCTATCACAGCTTACATTTGGGATGGGATTTGATTTTTTCTTTGGCTTTAAGAGGTTTTTGTTGACTTTTTAAAGAGATAAAAAAACCTAAATCACCCATAAGCCATAGCATTAGCATTAGCATCTGTAACCCACAGGTCTGTGTCCTAACCATTAAGTTGTTATGAGAGTAAATCCCTGTTCAACATGAGTCTGACAACTAAGTAAGTAGATAAATAACTTTAAACTTTAATACATGCCCTGATAGGCCGGGATCGGGATCAGATCAGAAGTGAAAAAAGCTGGAACGGGACATCCCTACCACTAACTTCTCCTGTAACTCTGTAAATGTTCCCTGTCTAACTGTGGGCAGCGTTCCCCCGTGAGCCCACAAAAACTCTGATTACGCCATTTTGGGCTCCGCTTAGACGCTTCAGTAGCAGGAATTAAACACATCTCTCTGTCAGGCTGATTTCATGTGGAAAACACGCCTCTTTCTGACTGATGCGCCCTCTTTGGGCAGGTAAAAGCCCCCTTTGCAGTTTAGGGATGTCCCCATCCAGCTTTTATCACTTCCAATCCGATCCCGATCCCGGCCTATCAGAGCATGTGTTAAAGTTTAAAGTTGTTTATCTACTTACTTAGTTGTCAGACTCATGTTGAACAGGGATTTACTCTGATAACAACTTAATGGTTAGGACACACACCTGTGTTACAGATGCTAATGCTAATGCTAATGCTCGTGTGGGATCGGACTTTTAAAAAACAACTGTATTTGGATGTTAAAATATTGGTATGTTGGTTTAAATATTCCCATCAGAATACACTGTAATTCCTATAATTGGTTCCAAAAACCTATGATAACTCTTTAATAAATACTGCAGATAATTACACAAAGCAATAAAACAAATGACTTAAAGAAGAGAGATGGAAAAAGAAAGAAATGAGAAAGAAATAATGAATAAAAAGGGTTTTTATTGGCCGGTTCCTGCTTTTTTCACTTCCGATCCAATCCAGATATTGGATCAGAACCAGCCTAAAGACTTCTAACAATGAGAATGATCAATAAAATGAATAAAAGCTTGAATAATCGGGTTATTTCTGTTTTTTTCTGTCCAGCTCAGGAGCTGAGGCAGGACGGGCCCGAGGACTCTGCCGTGGCTCTGGAGGACCTGAGCTGGGACCCGGGTAGATGAAGTTTTTATATCAAATACATGCAAAATAAACGGGGAATCAACAAAAAAAGCATTTTTGTTTGAAATTCATCTTCCTCCTTGTTATATTTTTGCCTTTTTGACAGATTTTGGATCAGTTTGGGTAGGCTTTGGACCAGTTTTGGACCGGTTTAGCCCCCTTTTGGACCGGTTTGGGTTGGTTTGGGTCAGTTCTGGACCAGTTTAGGTCCGTTTTGGGTTAGTTCTGGTCAGTTTTGGACCAGTCTATGTCCATTTTAGGTCAGTTTTGGGCTGGTTAGGGTTAGTCTGGGTCGTGCGCTCAGCTCCGTGGGGTAGGACGGGCTGGCAGATGAAGTTTTTATATCAAATACATGCAAAATAAACTGGGAATCAACCAAACAAAATTTTTTTGTTTGAAATTCATCGTCCTCCATGTTATCTTTTGGCCTATTTTGGACTGATTTGGGTCAGTTTGGATAGACTTTGAACCAGTTTTGGACCGGTTTAGCCCCCTTTTGGACTGGTTTGTGTTCGTTTTGTATTGGTTTGGGTCAGTTTTGGACCAGATTAGGTCCATTTTGGGCTGGATTGGGTTAGTTTAGGTCCATTTTGGGTTAGTTCTGGTCTGTTTTTGACCAGTATAGCCAGTATAGCCCTAGATAAAGGCTGGACTGTTCTGTAAAACCTGCCTGTGTGTGTTTCAGAGGAGTGTGTGTACACACACAGCTGTCGCTGCGGGGGGAGATTCATCCTCCCGGAGGAGGAGGTGGAGGAGGAGAGGCAGAGGGTCCAGCGGGAGGAGGAGGAGGAGGAAGAGGAGGAGGAAGAGGAAGAGGAGGAGGAAGAGGAGGTTGGGCGGCCTGGAGGCGTCCTGGTGAGCTGCGATACGTGTTCCCTCACCGTGTTTGTGCGCTGGCCAGAAGATGGAAACACCTCAGAGGGGAAATGAACCCTAAACCTCACCATTCGCCTTATTGGACACGGATGAAGCTCCCAGAGAGGTTTGGAGCTCAAAGACAGAAACCAGCCTCACTGTGACGGGGTGTAACTAAGAGGGACGTCCCCATCCAGCTTTTTTCACTTCCAATACCGATCCTATTAAAGTTTAAAGTTATTTATTCTACTTACTTAGTTGTCAGACTCATGTTGAATGGGGATTTAGTCTGATAACAACTTAATGGTTAGGACACATATCTGTAGGTCAGGAGATGCTAATGCTAATGCTAATGCTTAAGGCTGTGCTGTAAAATGACCAGACCGGATATCAGGGAAAAACACAGCAAAGTGGATATAATTGTTTGAATCGGTGTGCTGGAAAACACAAACTTAAAAGAAAAACTGGATCTGGAGTCTGGATCTTCATTTTCTCCTGCCGGCCGATACGCAGTTTTTTTGCAAAATATTGGCGGCTGATCCCCACACACACACCCTGACACGCTCCACATAGCTATAACCCCAGAATCTCTGGGAGGTCTAACGGAGCTGAGTACTGGGGACTCTGGTCCAGATCTCAGGGCCCTGTTCTCTGGCCCCCTCAAAGGCACAGAGAAGTGCCTAACCTCGTCTGGCTTCAGTCTTCTGCTGAGCACAGAAAATACCAACTATCACAATGACTTGAACTGGACTGAGTCTTTGAAGTGATCTGCTGCTTTGTAAATAAAATGGAATTGATGGATTTTGATTTTTAGTCCGTTGATCTGAAGGGGGAAACTGTTAAAAAGAGATGAACTCGGCCTAACTCCTAATAAAACACATTATTTTTTTACTGCCTTTAAACATTTGGGTTTGGGTTAGGGTTAGGGTTAGGGTTAGGGACGTGGACATGCTCTGGTCTTTGGCTTTGAGCTCAGTCATTCGTTAACTCATGCAGACTTATTGTCCCAGACTTATTGTTCTGACTGGAAGTAGCTTCCTAAGAGAAAATACTCGAGTCTAGGCCTGTTTTTGCCTTTTTTGTGGCAGAAAAAGATCCAAACTGTAGTCTGTGTCTGGATGCTCGTTCAAGAACAAAGCTCAGATAAAGATGACACTGTAATGAGGAAAAGCATTAAAAACCTACTGAACATTTTCCTCAGCCTAAACAAGTTGATGGGAAAGTTAATCAATAATAATTTGTTTAACTTTTGTTAAATTACGATCACATAACGAAGCAACATGAAAAGCAAAAATATGGTGAAATTTGTGAAATGCAAATAGGTTTAATGTCTCTATGTGGCATCTTGCTATCTATAAAAATGATTGTGACACATTTAGAAATGAAGAACATGATTTTAGCTAATAAAATACCAACAAAAACCCTGTTTTAGATTTATTAGTTTAAGGTAGTGTTCATGTAATAGAAAGATTCAGAGTGTAGGAGGTGGTCAAATCTGCTGGTTTGATGATGACTTTAGTCTTAACTTTTGTGAAATTACGATGACATAAAAAGCAAAAATATGTTCAAATTTGTGAAATGCAAATAGGTTTAATGTCTCCGCGTGGCCTCTTGCTATCTATAAAAATGATTTTACACCAAATGAAGACACATTTAGAAATGAAAAACATGATTTTTT